TTGTGATGTTTTAGAAGTCAAGAAGCGCAACTTTTGGCACCCCAGTGTATGTTTGTTGTCTCTCTTGTTTTTTGACGGCCCAGGTACGACCTTTGGCCACCAAGGCTCTCACATCATCAGTCCTCGCTGCACTTAGTAGTGCCTGGCACTCAGAGAACTCAGAGAAGCGGAAGAATGCATTCTTGAACTTGCTGCGCGATGTGCTCGAGGTGGTTGCGCAAGTCATCCGGTGAACTGCTTAGCGATGTGAAGCGAACTATATACAAGATGTTCAATGGTGTAGCTGTAGCGAGCACAGCTCGATTGTAGCGTGCAGGCGGAAGGCTTCTATCAGAGAAGTTGTGAGCTTTACTTTGCAGGAGAAAGCTTTCACTCGCAAATGGAAAGAATGCAGTTGCTGCAAGACAAGATGCAAAAGGCGTAGCTCAACCCTTGTGTCTCGCAAGCTGAGTGAAGGCCGCTCCGCCATTTTCACACTTCTGGTTCGAGCTTCTTGAAGCAAAGTTGGGGCTCGATTCTAAGTGCGGCAGCAGCAGACGCATGCCACGAGCTTTTTGGATGATTCTTTGTGGTTGCGATTGATACAACGTGTGCAAAAAGCCACATTGCTCGGGTCGCTTCGTGACGACAACCGCCCGCACCAGGGACTCTCAGAGACAGGCTAACAGAAGTCTCTAAATAGTCACACTATTTTTGGACTCTCTTACACAGTGTTTAGTTATGTGATACTTGCAATTAGCAAGCATTATTGGATCTACCTTTCACCCCCTTGAAACTGTACATTTTCAAGGGGGTCAGAAAATGGAGTGACTTTGTAGAATACTACACAGTGTGCTGGTGCAAGCATGAAGATATACTAAGACAAGACATAGACTGCTGAGAGGAGTCGTTTGTTTGCCTTTCATAGACCTGGTGATGCAAATGACACGGTGATGAGAAGTAAAGTCAGACAGACATGATCCAAGCGAAAATGCACCCCTAGCTACAAAGCTATTTAGCGATTCACGCACTGGTTGCAGTTTAACACCTCAGCACCTTCGGCGCGGGCGGACTTCATCGCAGCTCTAGAACAGAGTCTTTACATGTTTCTGCCATAGGGCGGAAAAAGTAGCAAGTTTCCCAGGGTGACTTGCATTTCCCTGTGAACCCCACAGTCCTTGGAACCGAGCCCTGCGCAACAATACACGTCCGTACCAGTGTGTGAGCGCGTAGGATTGAACAGGCTATAGCACATAGAGATCTTAGTGCTCAACATCACAAACACTCTCAATCCAAATCTAATGTGGGCTCATGTAGTGTAACGCGTCCCCCTTTGGTTCGTATTACTTTTAATCTCTTTGCCCCATACCGAAAGAGCAGCGTCGCGTTGCAGCAAACTAGGCAATGGGGCTGTGCGAACGCACAGTACCATGATGACGACGATGATGATGATGATGATCATGTTGGTCACTTTTGACAATTTGAGGGGAGCCACGGAAGCGAACTTTCCACCTAGGCCGCGCAAAGCCGAATGGCGCAGCGAACTCGCAGACGTGATTTCGCCACACTGTGCGCCGCAGACTGCAGACTGGGCGCAACGAAGTTGCCGGTTGAGAGGCCAAAGCTCCCAGAAGCTGCTTGCCGTACAACATGTGTATACGACAAAGTTGCGACTTCTGAGCGCCAGCTCCCAGAAACCGCTTCCCGCACTACACTTGCACTACAAAATTGTCAGTTGATTGCTTTCCATACCACATTTGCACTGCAAAGTTGGCAGCTGAGGCCGCCTCTCCCACAAGCTGCTGCCCGGACTACATGTGTACTAATAAGGTCATAAGGTGCCAGTTCTGAGGCCACCCTTCGGCAACTTCCACCTTGATTCCCCACGACAGCCATACATTTTGGCAACTTTGATTTTGATTTCCGACGACCACCTTGCTTATCCACGACAGTTACACGCTTTGGCATCTTCGATTTTGGTTTTCGACGACAGCTAGACACTTTGTCAACTTCCACCTTGCTTTCACATTTTGGCACCTTGCACTTTGATTTTGGACAGCAGGTACACACACTTGGCGTCTTCCACCTTTTTGGTGAGGACAGTTGCACACTTGCGCAACTTCTGACCACATTTACGCATTTTGGCAACTTCGGTCTTGACTTTCAACGACGGTTACATTGTTTGGCAGCTTCCAACTTGATGCCCGATGTTAGTTAGAGACCTTGGCAACCTCCACCGTGCTGTCCGACGACGTTTTCACATTTTGGGACGTCGATCTTGATTTTCGACATCAGTCTATTTACACACTCTAGCAATGCCCACTTTGGCAACGTCCACTTTGATTTTGGATGACAGTTTCACACCTAGGCAACTTTCGCCTTGCTTTTCGACGACAGTTACAAAGTTTGGCCACACCCAGCTTGGTTTGTGATTTGCAGCTACACGCTCGGAACTACCTTGATTTTCAACGACAGTTACCCACTTCAGCAACTCGACGCGCCCGATCTCCGCAAATAGTTCGCGGACATTGCTGAGAATTTGCGTTCTGCCTGCCGTTTGAGCAATGGACGTGCGCGATCTCCGCAAAGGGTTGCCCAGCGTGCTCGATGTGCGGTCCCCGCAAAGGGTCGCATTTCACCCTTTCACCTCACCTTTGAGCAATTGACGCGAGCGATCTCCGGAAAACGTTCCTGAAGTGCTGGGCAATTAAATATACATTTCGGTTCACGTTTGCGTGCTCGACCCGCGCGCTGTTTTGTGAGTGCCATGCGGTTCATACTCAATTGAAGCGGTTGCACGCCAGGGCCCCATGATTTTACATATTTGTATGTGGCCTTCCGTTTCTGCCGCACTGCGTGCTTCAGCTGCGTGATTTACACTTGTCCCCCACTTGTCATACACTCTGGCGCTCTGCTCATATGATTTTACGCTTGTCTCCTACTTGTCTCTCTTCTCTCCCAGTACGCTCTGGTCACATGATTCTACACTTGTCTCACTTCCCACTCTGGGTGCTCTGGCCGCATGATTTTTCATGTGTCTCCCACTTGTCTCCCTTCTCTTCCTTACACTCTTTGTGCTGTGGGCCACATGTTTTTGCGCTTGTCTCCCACTGTACGCCCTGCTCTTATAGGGTTGCATGCTGGGCTGCTGGGCCTGGGCTATCCTGGGCTGACGTTTCCTCTGTTGGCCGACCTTTTGGGCAATGATTTTTCACTTGTCTCCCACTTGTCTCTCTGCTGATCTGTCTGCTTGTCTCCCTTCTTGCTTCTTGTGTCTCCCTGCCTGTGTTTCCTCACAAATTCATGGTGGATGCCAGCAGCGTTTCCAAGTCTCTAATGTGACGAGCGCGCCAAAATGGCCGTGCCAATCATGCGTCGCGCGTGTGACACGTCGTGTGCAGTTGTAGCAGAATTTGCGTGTGCCCGCGTGGGATTGCATGCGCTTCGTAAACGCTGCCCATTTGCACGCCGCTGGATGCGCTCAGAACAGTGACTGAAGTTTTGTCAAGGCCCGGGAAAGCAGTGCTGAAGACCACGGTGGACAGCTGCACATGCAAACGCGCACGAACAGTGTGTATGCTGCCGAGTTTTTTGGCTGCTGTAGGACCAGCTACTTTTCCGCCCAATTATGATTTGGTATTGCTTTGATGCCTGGATGCATTGGTGCTGCGTTGGCTGTGGCTCTCAATCCGACTCAGCGCAGTTTCTCAGGTTTTTGGTGGTTTCCTTAGCGGCAAGCGTTGGACAGAGGCGACAGATGGGGTGCGAAGGGGAAATGGAGCAGTTGCAAGCGCCTCCAGGCACATTCTGAGGCATTGAAAAAGAAAACAGTTGCTTCGCCTAAGATTTCCAACTTGCAAATTGCAGATGGTAGAAAATTGGAAAGTGCACCGGTAAACGTTATAAGTTATAAGACAATCAAGTATACTGAGGTGATGGACAATTTGCACCGTAACTTTGCGAAGGCGTCCAGCGCTTGTGGGTGTGCCAGCGGTGAACTTTGAACGATAAATGAGGTTGTGGTCAGCTCTTGGAAGGTGTGGCCGGCTGCAATGTGGCTAACTCACAGGCAGCGCTGCCGGATTTAAACAACGTCTCCATTTGCTTGCCGCGTTGCAGGTATATCCCGGCCCAATATCGGCAGCTTGACCAAGTACAAGAGTTGTGGAAGATATAGCTGGGGTGTGTTAACAAGGATTGCGGTGTGAGGCGAACATGGATTCCAACCAACAAGTCCAGAGAGTTGAAGAATGTGCCCCTCAGTTATGATGCTGCATTGCTGTCGCTTACCGCGCCTTTTTTTAAATTGCCTTGTCTATATAATTTCACAAACAACGTGAGACGCAAGTGCAGCTTAAGTAGCTGCGTCAGTGTTTTCAGGATGCATATGTTTAGTATTGGAGGATTGCGAGGTTTGTCAAGCTGGACGCATTTAATGCGCATGTTGCTCCTGAGGTCAGCTTTCACTGAAATGCTTGCATTCTTCTGGGATGTGTCCTGGCAACGAACGGTACTGTTGCCACGGCCCAGCCCAAACGTGTGAACTCTTGCTCTTGTGTTGCCAAGACCTCTGCAACCTAGGTGTATGAAAGTCTCATGGTGAGTGGCGCCGAAAGAAAAAGCGAGGAAGACGAAAAGGAACAACGTGTTGCGCCCAAATAGAAAAACACATGGCGCGTCAATTGTGGAGCGTATGTTTCCAAAATCAACATGGACTGCGGGAACCTCGAATTTCATTGACAAGACTTGTTTGAAGGCTTTCTAATTCAAGCTATTTGGCATTCGAAAGTATCTGCGAAAGATATCAGCAAAGCTTTAGCAAAACCAGGAGGAGCCACATTTGGAGAAGGGGCAACAACAACTATACTCAGTACTCTAGTTTGCCCGATTCAGAAACGAATGCAGAGGACTACGACGTCTGATTCTGAGCTTCAGTTTTGATAGCCCGCTTTGACAATTTTTAGAGTCACGGCACAGTGCTTTTGATTCCTCTTGGATCCAAACCATGCAGAACCGAAGCCCAAAACCAAGGCATCAGGCGACCTGTTCAGAGCACGAGCACACGTTTGAAGCCAAGTGTAGCCTGTTTTGCTCATTGCTTGGCCCTGCTATTTAGTTGAGCTGACCAGAGTTGCTTTTGCTGCGTGGCTGAGGCGCCCCTCAATGGCAGGAGTCCAAGCTAAAGGGGCTGGAATTGGAGGTTTCCCGAGCGTGCATTGCAGGGAGAAATGTGCAATGCTTGCCGCCAACTTGAAGAAGCTGCTGCAGCCCTTTTTGCACGCCTTCAAACTGCCAGGAGGTGTGGGCATTGAGCGTTGGACAATAGCAGTATATAAACCTTGGCTCGCGACTTCAAGCAATAGTCCATGCTGCGTGCAGAAGATGCGAGAAAGTATATTTTCATTCTTTGTTTGACGCATTCCAACCGAAAGGGTTACCCGCAGCTCACTGCACTGCACCACCTTAAGGCCCAAGACACACGGACACGGCCGCTAAAAGCAGCTGTCTTGGCTACAATGCACAACTGCTGCCCGGTTGAACATTTGTCTCAACCAATTCACTTTTTTGCGTCAAAGCGTGCGTGAGGCGCAGCAAGCAAAGGTGAAACAAAAACGCTTGAAATGGAGCCCGGCAAAGGCGCAGAACGGCGCATTACCCAATTAGCTCAAAGGACCTCGACCTGGCAGCAGCCGATTTCATGAGGCGTTAGACCTGCTTTTGCATCACCGAATGTCTACGCAGGCGCAGTGGAATGGCCCTCATGCACGGTATCAGCATCGACTGACACCCTCTTCGTTGGACGGGCAATGTCAGTGGCGTCCCGTCCGTCCGCCTGCTGTTGCGCAGAGAATCAATGTTAAAGGAATGGGCGCCCTGGAAACAGGGTGTGACATACACAAACACACACACTCGAGATATTGCGCGCGGAAATGTTTTGCGGTTAGTCACACGCCAGCCTAAATAGAGGCACCAGGACAAAGTAAGTAAGGTGGTCTTAACATCCAGGGAACCATCGCTTGTAGTGAGGAGGCCAAAGTCTCAGCACGACTCGGAGCTTCGTAGGATGGGGCCTCATAATCCTCATGCGTCCTCTCCATCCTCTTGCTCAAAAGAAGTAAAAGGTTCCCTATATGATTCCATGGGCTTCCCAAACGCCCCCAAAGGCTAGGACTAGGGGTCAGACAAAGTGTAAGTGTGTGCGCGCAACGGACAACTAGACGACGGTTGGCCCGAGAGCGAGACATGTAATTGTCCAGCACTGTCGAAAAGATGTATAGAAAGAGAGGAAGAGAGGGTGGATGTGAAGGAGTGACAGTGTGATGTGCAGGTGCGATATAGATCTGTAGATGCATGGAGGTGGAGAGGTAGATCTGTGGATGTGAGCGTGCGAAGATGTAAATGCACAGAGACGAGAGAAAAGATATGTAGAAAGAAAGAAAGACAGGACAGATGTGAAGGAGCGACAGTGTGGATGTACAGATGTGATATAGATGTGCAGATGTGTGGGTGTGGTGAGGTGGAGAGGTAGATCTGCGGATGTGAGCGCGTGAAAGATGTAAATGTAGAGAGGTGAGGGGGTGTAGACGTATATGCGTCGATGCAACGGCAATGCAACGTCAACCTTAGTCGTGCAAGTACAACGCTGAAGAGGTTCAACTAGAACTGAAGAACGTACATTTCACACTGAAGTTTCCACGAACAGGGCGACCTGAGAGTAAACGACGTCACGATCATGACAAGCGACTCGTGTATTCCAAGCGAACATCGTTTGTCATGAAGATGAAGTACACACATACTAACGTCACGATGACTCTTTGTGGCAGCCACTTATGAGTAAGCAAAGTAGCTAAAATTTGTCAACCTCTCAAAAGAGCCGGGTGGTCGGGAGACATGACTCAGCTGCAGGGGCGCCAGAGCAGCCACGACGGATGACTCAGCCGCGAGAGATGACTCATCCGCGTACTCAAGTTGTACTATACAAAGTCGTCAGTTCTCAGCTTCCAGCTCCACAGCTTGCTCCGCGTACTAAAGTTGTACTAGAAAGTCGCCAGTTCTCATCTTCCAGCTCCCCAGATACTCCGCGTACTCAAGTTGTACTACAAAGTCGCCAGTTCTCAGCTTCCAGCTCCACAGCCTGATCCGCGCACTAAAGTTGTACTACAAAGTCGCCGGTTCTCAGCTTCCAGCTCCACAGATTGCTCCGCGTACTAAAGTTGTA